AAGTACCTTCGTTTTGCTAGATGCATTCAATCAATCGATAAGTGAAATATAAAGCATTAAAGCATAAATAAAATGCACAAATATAACTTTCAGATAATCAATACATGCTCATCACCTCTTACTAAAGAGTGAATGAGGAACTACTCACTCTTCATGGCTAGTGTAAAACTAGAAAAAGTGAGTGATACTCATCCCTCCAAGTAGAGAACTTACAAGGTAAAATACAATTAGCGAATAGCCAATCTTCACCAAAGAATAAGTGAATCATGTTCCACCCTTCATGATTTTGGTAAAGCTCTAGAAAAGTGGAAGAGTTTCACTCCTCTAAAAAAGAAGCTCAAGCAATGGAAGTGAAAGACATAAACTATGAAAGTAGAAGAAAGCTAGTCACTTATGGAGGGTGGCTTCCTCAACCAACAAATGGAGGGTTGCTTTCTCCACCAACAAGTGGAGGGTTCCTTCCTCAACCAAGAGATGGAGGGTTGCTTCCTCAACCAAGAAATTAATTGACTCTCTTGATACAAGTAAATATAACATACATCTAAAATTAATCAAAATGAGTGGGAGTCTAAGCCTCCGTACAAACTCCTTACTAGTTCTTGGTGTAGTCTAAGCCTACTAACCAAGCTTTAGCTCCCTATTTTACAAGAGAAAAATTGCACCCCTTGAAGCTCCCCTAATGGGAGTATTTATAGGCAAGGAAGAGAAGGGGGGAAGATAAGAAAGGATGAATGAATAGTGTATGCCGCCCAAGTCTAAGTGAAAACCAACTACTCTGCAGGCAGTCTACGGAGGACGTTCGAACGTTGTTTCTGTTTTGGATTTATGGACGTTCGAACGTGTCTTCTATCTTTGCTTTATGGGCGTTTGAACGCCAGATGGGGTTTGACCATATCACTCAAGTGGTCTGTGGTCTTCTGTGGAAACCCACTTCTACACTTCATGCAGAACTTGGCATTTTGCACTCATCACTCTGGTCTTCAATCAAATCAAGTGGACGTTCGAACGTGAGTTGGCATTTGTATGTGGTACTCAAGTACCTCAGAATCTTCTTTCTTGGCTGCAACACACCATCTCTTAGCAGTTTGGGCTTCAAGTGGACATTTGAATGTTAGTTGGCATTCGAACGTGGTTGGCTTGGTCCAAACTCTTCTAATTTTGCTCTAGAATATGCTGGTGCTGCATGAAAGTTTGATATTCATCGCCTTTAGTCCCTTGTACAATTTATGGCCTGAAATGCCATCATTTAAACTCCATCAAAGTATAATTAGTCTTAAAAGAGCTTAGTAATATGCTAATTTTAACTACTAATCACCTCTCTCTATTTTTTTTTCGGGTGATATAGCTTACCCTAGGCTGCACTCAACCTGGTCCGTTGTCGTGGCAGTGCTTTGTGCTGCTGTTGAGTCAAAAAACTCTGCTAGAGACTGTCTTAACCTTTGTAGAGTTTGAGCTACCCCTTTCACGAGCTATTTTTAAAGTTTGAGTGCCCATTTCCCCCACGTTCGACATGTGGCTGGCGTAGTTAATGTGACAAACACACAATAATTGTGCCTTGTTAGAGTGATGCACGCCACCTAGGACTCTCATAAATAGACCCCCTTAGCCTGTAGACTACTTACCTTTGCATTTGAGTACTTTTCCCCCTTTGCTCGTTACTTCCAATTTTTGGTTCTTCTCCTTTAACTTGCTCTCATTTTCTCCATGTCGCAAATGCCTACTTCCTACCATGATACCCAGTTGCAAATTTTTCTTGATGTTGAGGCTAGTGAGATTGACACCAAGGGGGCCCAAGCATTGTCTAGCTGCTATGCATTTCTTGGCGACGTTACGGTGCATGCCGCTAGGCACTATCCCTACCATCGGACTTTGGCGAGTTGGGTTTGTTTCTTTGAGGCCCTCTTCCAGCTGGGCCTTATGTTTCATTTCCCTTTTTCATGAGGGAGGTTCTTTATTTATTTAGTTTTTGTCCTGTTATGTTGTTACCAGCAGAGTGGGTAGTTTTGCTACCGTTTTTGGTGGAATGGGAACGATTGTTCTCTCTCCCTTGTGCCACCTTAGCAGAGTTTCTGAACTTCTTCTGTCAGGTGGAGGTATCCAATTCTATTACTTTACTCTGAGAAGGGGAGGAGAAACTCCCATCTTTGATCTTCCTCCCTAGCCAGAGGGTTGGAGGAAGAGGTAATTCTTCGTGTCTAGGACAGGTTGGGAACTTGCACATCAGATAATCTCATCGATTTGGGTTCCCATAATCTGGGGGCAACATGCCCATCTTGGTGAGTTCCCCTATCCCAATGAGTTTTCTTCTCCTAGTCTGTTCATCCCACACATACGGGGTTATGACTTAAGCTCGTTGCTCTGTCTTTACGTTTTATAGGTGAATACCCAAGCTTGATTGGGGAGTTGCGATCTCGTGTCAATCAAATTCAAGCCCAACTGCCCTTTTCTTATTTTGAGCTGATGCACACCTGATCTGGGTGATGTCTTGGGCCGTCAACACATGATACCTTTATAGAGTTATGTTTATCTTTCCTTGTTACGCCTTTCTGATGTTTCCTTCGATTGTCTTGCTTTTTCAGTTCCCACGTGTCTGGTTAGCGAGAGGGACATGATTGTGGAACAAGTGGGTTAGAGAAGACTAGCACGAGCTCATGGTCCTCCCACAAAGAGGGTGAGAATCTCTAAAGATAGCCCAGTGCCAAACTCCCCGGTTGTCCTAACACCAAATTCTCCAGTTGCACACGCGCCCAGTTCTCCAGTTGTCCAAGCGCCAAGTTCTTTCACCACGCTCGTAGGTCCACCTAGGGTTGATGAAGCAACAGCTGGAGTGGTGTTCATTAATCCCGAGGTAGGACCCGTTTGCTGCGGGTCTTCTCATAGAGGTGTGGAAGGGACCAGCTCAAGGCGACTTGATTCAACTATGACCAATGGCCTCGAGGTGAGCCTCTTAGATGATGTGGTCATTGGTAGTCGAGCTTTCATGGAGCTGATTCCCCAAGTCAATCTCTGTTGTTCTGTTAGTCAATCTATCTAGGCTAGTACCTGAGATGCCTTGCGTGCACTCTTTGAGGTGAGATTTATCATCATTTATGTCTTTCCTTTCTTCTGTCTCAATTCGGGACATCTTAACTGCTTGTCTTGTCCTCAGATAGCGATGCATGTCTATACACTCAGTGGGGAGATCCATCACTCAAAGATGGAAGTTCACAAAAGAGATGCCAAGTTCGCTAAGCTTCTGCGTTGGGGCCCAGAGCTGGAAGGAGAGCTAGAGACAGCTCTTGAGTGGAGGGCTCATATTTTTTGACAGTTGATTACTACTACCACATCAGAGATCTCTTTATGAGAAAAGCTTAGTGATTAGTTGGATGAGCCAATTGAATGCCAAATTGATAACATGGTGATGATCACTCAAGTGGTGGAGTCCCACACTGCCATAGCCGACCTGGAGGACTCTCTGAGTTTGGAGAGGCAGCTGGTCGAGAAGTAGAGGAAGGAGATCGAGAAGACCAAGAGGAAAGCTGCCAAAGCTTTCATGGATGGGTTTTTTAACTTCAAAGACTAGGTGCTTGATAAATACCCTAACCTTGGCCTTAATCATTTTGAGCCTCGGTTCTAGCCTCCTCATGGTGGTCCTTTTAGTAGGGGCGACGCTACTCCATTATTTGCACCGTCCTAAAACTTCATATTCTGCTGCTTCTTTCTTTTGCTTGTTAGTTGTTGTGTTTTTTTTTTGTTTGCATGTATTTTTGGATTGTAAAGTGTAATCCTTCTTGTTTACTAGAGTGAAAACCCTTTAACTCTCTTCTGGTGTTGTCGTTTAAATGTTTTGCTCCTCCCTTGCCCCCTACTCCAAGGAGGTCTTCACCTGGTTGGAGTATGATTTTGAGAATCTATTTAAATTTGTGATTCATAATGTGGTAAAGTCCTGGGCTACTTGATGTTGTGGATTCCAGGTTACTTAGTTGCCACTTTGCTTCATGTGCTTGACCTATATGATCGAATGTTGAGTAGCCCGAGCTGTGTGAGCTCGAGTTGTAATCGTCTGGATTCTTTGCCCTTTTACCTCCTCTGCTCGGCTAATCTTCTTGCTTGTGTTGTATGCTCTTAGATCGAAACGTATGGGGTTGAGATGAGGAAGTAATAAATACGACATTATTCATGCCTACCTAACTTTACCTAACTTCCCCTAGAGCCGCCTTTATTAACTCCTACCATAAAGCCTCTTCATTGCAAGAGTATAACGGTCACCATTCAACTTCCATAGGCTTATCTATTTAACGACATTTAAAAGCCTTCCAACCTTCACATTCTTCTTTTCCTTGAAGCTTTTCCTGAGTGTTTCTTACTTTGTGTTTCCATAGCCTCCTCCTCTGTTCAACCAGCATGCCAGATTCATGATTAAGGATCCATGGTATGCCATATTTTTGCTCCCTACTGCTGCTATTGCTTCTAAGGTAGAGAAGGTTAGGAGACGATATATTATCCCAACTAGTTCAACCATTCGGGTTCTTATCCCCAAAGAACCTTGCAATCTACTTCTTCGGGGGGAGGTTTACATTTTTTACGGTGCTTTCAGGATGGGCCTTCGCTTACCCATTCAACCATCAATAGGGCGGATCCTTGCCTTCTTTGGGGGCCCTTTGCGCTTTTCACCGACGGGATAGAAAGAGTATCCTATCCCTTCGGTGAAGCGAGTTTCTTCATTTTTTGGCATTTGCAAGGCCATGATAATTTCACTATGGTTTCATAATTCCTTTATTTTTTTGATTTTGACTTTGAAATTCCCCTTGATATCGTCGCTTTACATGGAGGCGGCGGCATGTTCTGACGTTGGTTCTTATAGTTCTTGGCTCTCCTGAGGGGTTGTTGTAGCGCTTCTTTTTCATTTTTGCAAACTCTTGGGATTTTATCAAGGCATGCTCTAAGCGTTCCCATGTTCTTCACTCTTGGGGGTGTATTATTGAGAGAGGTACGGAGACAACTATTTTGCTTATTTTGAAATGAAAAGCCTTCCTACTTGGGAACTTAACAATTTTTGTGTTGGTGCAGATGGTCTTGGGCTGACTCCGGAGGAGGTCGTTAAGGTCTACTGACTTACTTGCACCAAGGTAGCCCCCTTTTCTATGCTTGTTATAGCTCAGAACCTCTTTCGATTCAGGATCGGACCCAACCCGACCCGATTGTTCTTCCTACTACTATCCCAGTTCTTCCCCCTCCTATCATCAACGCGAAAATTTGTCAAGCTGGCCCAGAGGATGACACTGCCATGTCGTCAAGGAAGAAGAAGATAAAATAGGCTTCTTCTTCTCCGTTGCTATCCAATTCTTCATCTGGTGGTATGGTGTTTATGGCTGGCAAGTCGGAGTTGGCATTGGGGAAGGCAAGTTTGAAAAACAACTTTCTAAGGCTGAGAGGGAGTAGGATGAGCTGAAAGCTGAGAATGTTCGGTTGCGAGCATCAAATGTGCAATTAGGGAAGGAGGTCTCAGAACTAAAGGGGAAGATCAGAGAGTTCTGAGCTTGTTTCTTTGCTTCTTGTAATTTCAATTGCTTCTAAATACAATGTGAAATCTTCTTTAATTCCTATTTCAGCCCCCTTTTTTTTTGTTTGTCATCGCCCCGACCTAGAGGCTTACTAAGCTCGAGATCCTATTTAAGCGTGACCCTTCAGAGATTTGGAAATAAGTTAAGAGGCTAAAAAGCTGAGTAGAAAAGAACTTAGGCTAAGAAGCCTGGGCCAGATCGCACGTCTGAGGAGCTCGCGGCTGTGGGGAGTTAAAGAACTCTTTTGTAGCTGAAAATCTGAGTTGAGGGGCTCTCAGGCTAAAATTCCTGGGCCAGGTTGCGTGGCTGAGGAGCTTGCAACTTTGCGGAGTTGAAGAACTCCTTAGCGGCTAAAAAGTTAAGCTGAGGGGCTCTTAGACTGAGAAGCCTAGGCCAGTTCACGTGGTTGAGGAGCTTGCGGCTTTGGGGAGTTGAAGAACTTCTTAGGGCTGAAAATCCGAGCTAAGGGGCCTCAGGTTTCCTGGGCCAGGTTGTGTGGCTAAGGAGATCATAGCTTTAGGGAGGTGAAGAACTCCTTAGTGGCAATAAAACCATGCTGATGGGCTTTCAGGCTGAGAAGCCTAGGCTAGGTCAAGCGGCTAAGGAGTTCGCACCTTTGGGGAGTTGAAGAACTCCTTAGCGGCCAAAAAACTGAGTTGAGGGACTCTCTGGTTATGAAGCCTAGGCCAGGTCATGCTGCTGAGGAGCTCACGGCATTAGGGAGTTGAAGAACTCCTTAGCGACTAAAAAACAGAGCTGAGGGGCTCTCAGGCTGAAAAGCCTAGGCTAGGTCACGCGGCTTAGGAGCTCGCGGCTTTGGGGAGTTGAAGAACTCCTCGGATCATACATTGTTCAAGTTTAGTGGCTAGAATTTCAAATTTCTTTGATTGGGAATTGGAATTTTACAATTGACTTTCTCCCTTCACAGTATCTAGCTGCCCATGATCCTACTGGTAATACCGCTTCAAATGATCTGCATTCCAGGAATATTGCATGTCTATCCCCTCTTAAGTTTCTATTTATTGCAACTCCATGGTAGCTTATAAGCTTTTCATCTCAATTCTAGTTTTCAACTTCAAAAGTAGAGTGAGAGCTTGTTTCCACCATTCCAATGGCCATTTGACTTGAAGATTTACCGTCAACAACCTTGTAGTTCTTTGCCTCACTCGAAACCCACAACAAAACATATGACTTGGCCGATGCCTATTCAAAATTTGAAAAACCAACCATAATATTGTATACTTTTGCGAAGGTGCACATTATTCAAATAAATAGGAAATAAAAATATTAGAAACCATACCACCAAGATATGTATGTGAAGTAGGAAAATACATATCAAAAATTAATTCACCAGATGCGAAGCCCTTCCATAACCATAATTACTGCAATCCGTAATTGAAAATAATAAGAAGCCACAAACAATTACACAACATAAAATCACTACAACTTTGATTCAAATGAGAAAAAAAAAACCTAAAGTATAAGCTAACAACAATGGAAGGACATTTAGAATACTTGAAAAAAAAAGTAAGCTCTATTTAACCTCTTAGGAACAGATTATACATATGAAAAAGTGTGAAAGTCTTGAAATATTAACGGCATATGAGATGACACTCAATAATTTAATGCTTTTCTTTCCTCCGATAACTCAACGACCAGCCAAAAATTTTAACTTTGAAGTGTAGGAGCTCTTTCCCAAATGTAGCTCATCTAAAATACACCATCCAACATAGCATAATTATCACCGAAATACTGATTAATGAAACCATTCTCATATTTATTGAAAAACTTTAAATAAAACTTCTCTTAACTAAAAGTTCCAATAGCCTATTTCCCATTCTACACTAATCCATAACTTAATCACGCACAACCTGCACTTTCATGTGTATAGAAATAAAATTGGATGAAATTTTTGGATTGATCTAGGATATAGCCTTTGGATTGAAATTTTTGGATTGAAATTTTTGGATTGATCTAGGATATATACTAATCCTACTATCAGGTTTAATTAGTATAATTCGTTCTTCCTAATCCTAACTCTCCAGTGGAAATCCATAACCTACATCTCCCATGTAAGACCTAAAGCCTAGGATTTGACACCAAACCTGTAATGCCCCAAAATCCACCCTAGAAGACATTACTATCTACAAACCATCCAACCATAAGAGCAACTAAAATAAACATCAAGTAATAAACCATTCATCCATTTAATAAGGAATAAATACTAAAGTAAATAAAACATTGTAACTTCTCCAACTTACAATTCAAAACCAAAGAATATCTAGCAACAAAATATTAAAAAATAGCAAAAATAATGTTTCATAAAGATCTCTCAAACTCTAAACCAAAAATAGAACAATGTTATTCCTCTAATGCAGGATCCACGTCATGATCCTCCAATAGCTCGTAATCAATTTGTTCATCTACATTGACATCCTCTTCTATGCCAAAATCTGTAATTGTGTTGTAGGGGTGAGCAAAAGCTCGTAGGAAATCTTTATCAAATCCCAACAAGGTTTAGAATAATAAAAGATGCAAGTCTCTTTTGGAAATTAACATATATACTGGTTGAAAGTAAAAAAATGACAATTATAATGATCTCAGGTGCACGTACATACAGTAAATCAATGAACGGAATACACATATTATAATTAAAGCAATTAATAAATAACTCAGTAGCATCATCTCATATTCTCATGTATGTTGGTTGCTTCTCATGAATCTACATAACGATTCTACCTCGTTCACCCACCATAACCACACAATCTCAATCATTCACCGAATGACCAAATTACAAACCACTTTAGGAAGGGTGTATATCATCGCCTACGATTTTAATTCCTTGATTTTCATGATTTAATCAAGAATAGAAATTTAGAAATCAAGAATACATGTATTTTTCACAATCAAACATGCATCTAACAACTAGGGTTTTGAAAATTTAAGAACAAGTATTCATTGAATCCAAACATGTATTTTGTTCAAAACTACGTTTCAATAGTAAAGAAACCAATCATTCATAAGTATTTATCATATATGTATCAAGAAGATTGAAAACATACAAATATAATACCCTAAGTCTCAATGACGGAACTCAAGAAGAATTCCTTACCTCGATTTCGTAGTTTTGTGTAAAAACCTAGTGTGTTTAATCCGTTCCAATGTGAAAATACCCCTTAATCTAGTGTTTCTCCTCTTTTCTCTTGCTCTCTATGGCTCTCTAGAGTTAGAACTTATGAAATAGGGCTAGGGAAGACGTCTTTGGGTATTCATAGTATGAGAAAATAGTCCAATCGGCTCAAATCTAATACTCAGAATCGTGACCTCATGTATAAACTAGTGGCTTGACATTCGAACTATCTACCTGACGTTCGAATATCATTTTGGCTTTCGTACGTTGCTTACTCCCAGTACTTTTGCTTTTCCATTAGAGTTTCTATAAGACACAAAAGTACTAGGACTAACTGTCGTTTGGAACAAATCCATTCACGTTCAAATGGTCTCCAATTTTTAGCTAAACTCCCAATGATGGTTTGGCCTATTTAGAAGTCGATTTGGAAAATTTTCATTAAATACACTTTTGTAGCCTTGTAAGTCTAGTTTCTACTATAAATGGATATCACGGTAAAAGTTTAAGGTCCAAATACTAAGGAACTATCAAATTTATTCCTACCCAAATTCTCTTTAAAATGTGTTTTAACTCCGAAAAACTTCCTAAATTCTAATACACATCCTATTACAACTCTTAAAGTTTTTATTTCTAATCTTACAATCTATATATCTCATTCTTACGTCACTACATATATGAGCATTATAAAATAATTACATCACTATACAAAGATAAACATGTGGGGGTTTACATATCACTTTCATCAACTTCTTTTAGGGAGACTACTAAAAAGGAAAAATTATGGAAATGAACATTAAAACCTTCAAACTAACAAGTGTTGCGATTATGCCAATCAGCACGATTGGAGAGCAAAGAATCATATTTTCCACCAACATAACAAATAACTAAACTCTCAGAAACATCAAGATAACAAAATAAAATTGTTTAAATACAACAAAATAAACAAAACAATTTAGAAACATTAAGATAACATACTCAAATGTGCATAATGATGGATGTCAATGGCTCAATGAGATATTTTTTTGAAGTTTCAAAAAATAGTTCATCTTCATCAAAATTGTCCAAAGGAGCAAATTGGGGGAAATGTATGAATTGAAATTAATTGGGTGAATCTAGTCTAGCCTTGCTTCGGTAATTTTATTTGTTTTCAAATTGTCTTCCATTTCTAGGATTTTAGTTGCAGCTTATGAATTTTGTATATTGGGAAACTTTTAATGGTTGTGTCATATGCTTTAGTGTTCATGGGAATTGATGAGGCTAATTCTCTTTTGATATAAATTTAAATGTTGGAAATTTCAAAAGCAAATGAATTGTAAATAATTCAAGAGTTATCTACATGTATTTTGAACCCCTCACACTGTCAGTACATCGAGAAATAGTATTGTGCAACTAAGATTCTATTAAATGTCTTATGGTTTATGGAGCAAATTAAATTTTTTTTTTGTTTGGAAACCTATTTGAAAAGTTCATAGTTCATGAAAAATAAAGTGTTTGTTGGAGGGTTCAGTTGCCCCATTGCCCCCCAACAAATTCTGCTTTAATAATATGTCAACAATGAATCCATGTTGATCATGTTCACAAAATTGCTCAAATGAGCAAATTGGAGAAAATTTATAAATTCAA